AAAAAAAATAAAACAAACAACAAAAGCAACAAAATTTAGTTGACACTAGTTCATCAGTATTGTATCAAGAATTGCCCAGTTAATAACAAAGGGAAAATTTTAGGGTGGGATCCTTTATTTGTTCTTTTTCCAGAAGTTTCTCTTCCTCATTGTGGTATAGCTTACAACTTTTCTTATTATTTGTGGTCTTTTCTGTGTCCCCTACCCCTTAGTTTTCTGATAACATACCCATAACTTTTCTCGCTTTCTCAAATATGTGTAGTTCTTTTATTTAACTGTTAAAGGGAAGTTCTATGTATTTCCCTTTCAGTGTTTTCCCTTGGTTTCTCTCAGCTTTCATTCTCTCTTGGTTGTCTCCTGTGTTCCCCATCACCTCACTGTAGCTACACATTCATGGATTCAAACCTCAGAACCAGCCCATTTCCATGTTCCACTTTCTGAAAAAATGAATTCCTAAGGATCAACTCACTCAGGTCGTTTTCCTAAAAGGAAGAGCAAGAGTATGCCATAGCTGTTTTAAAACGATCTTTCTGCAGTATTGCTGGCTTTATGTATGTGTACATGCAGCCGAAACCTGGAATTGTGGGTTGCTTTGTCTTTCACGTTTTCACTGTAGAAGTGATTAATATGGACTGTGAGGATATGATATTATGTCAACACTGTAAACAGATGAATGGTACAATAAGGATTTTGTCCTCTTTATGCTGATGAGGCGTTATTTTTGGACATGCTGGCTGCATTTCAATTGCTACATACGTAAAAGGAACCAGCATGTGCCTATTGATGTTTATGCTTATATATTCATGCATAATGTGTCTAAGGTTCCACATAAGATAATCTGTAGTTCAAAGGTTTGGTGTACCCTTCCTAATTTTTATGAGCATTTTGTATATTTTGGTGTAAGGTCATGCAAAAGCTATGGAGTGCTCAAGTTTTTGAAAGCTCCCGGGGGTTATTAATGGACAGTTTTCATAGCTTTCATATACAACAGAATTATAAGAGAAACACTCTTCTGGTGTTATAAAACAGCTTTAAGAGTAAATATTTTTCCTATTGAGGGACTAAGCAGCTACCTTCAAAGGGTGGACTCTTGTTCATAATCTGGGGAATTCTAAGCCAGTTACAAAGCCCAGGGAAGCTTGATGCCTCAGAAGCCATCTCTTTACAAAGAAGCTCTGTATGTATCACCTTCTGTATTGTCATAATTTGCTAAAGTAGTCTTTTGTTTACTTTATGAAATGTTTCTACAATGGTGAATTACATCTCAGCCCTTGGTTTGTAAATCTATGTAGGAAGCTTGTGTGTAAGTAGATACTTGAGGAGAATAATGTGTGCTGGAAGTGGTCACTATTTACAAAATTAGAATTTTGAATATCCTATATAATAAAGAGGTAATATGTAAATGCACCCTCACACCCTCACAAGATGGCTGCCTATGACCAGGCCAGCAGGGGGATTAATGAGGGATGACCAAATGACTGAACAACAGGCTGCATGGGGTGACCAGGCCAGCAGAGGGGTAGTTAGGGGCGATCAGGCAGGCAGGCAGGTGAGCGATTAGGAGCCTGTAGTCCAGGATTGTGAGAGGGATGTCTGACTGCTGGTTTAGGCTGGATCCCCCAAGGGGTCCCAGATAGGACAGGATGCAGGCTGAGCTGAGGGGACCCGCCCCCCCCCCCCCGTGCCATGCACGGATTTCGTGCATTGGGCCTCTAGTGTCTTAATACAGTACAAAGAGAAAATTTAATCAAGATTATATCTGAAGTCAAAAGTATTTGATAACGTAGGCTTAATGACATATTTTATAATTATAATGATAAATCATTTGAGATGTTTTATGAAAGCAACCTTTCATAAAATAACAGGATTTCTATGTGGCTATAACATACTAATGAGAAACATAATGTCCTACAAAGAAATTAGGTGATAATGCTGGGAACCAATAGAAAAAATGTTCTAGTTAGAACACTGGATAATGATAACAGCTTTTTATAAAAGTAGTTGTTTATGGTGTTCATATTTTGTTTTGTTTCTTAATGTCTGAGAAGATTAAAACTTATTTCTCAGTTTCAGCACATAAATGAAATCTTGTTATTTAGAATTTTATGCAGGAAATATTTGGGGTGATTCATTTTTATATTTTCTAATTTTGTCTTTCTGTAGGTCAGTAATCATGTTATCTTAGAAGCAAAAAAAACCCAACAACAATAAAACATCAATTCATTTCCCCTTTTTAGTTGATCTGGTACCATTGTTGCTAGATAAAATTCCCTTACACTAATGCCTATTATATGTTCTGAATGGAGGCATAATTTATATTCTATAAAGGGAAATTTTAAGAAATGTGTTTTGTTCCTGTAAATGTATGTTCAAGTTTTTTGGGAAATAGCAAACCAAAATCTTTTACAATGAAATGTACCAATTTAATATAACTTTAGGCATTGTTATTCTGATACCAAAATGAAGCTGGAAAAGAGTTTTTGGTTTTCATATAATAGAACAATAATGTCTCTATTAGCCTGGTCAAGTTAGCTAAAACTCTCCGTTAAGGCTGACACGTGCCAAGTGAACGTTTGAGCCATCATGGGCCTCAGAAGTAAGCATCCAATAAATACTTGTTGAATTTATGAGTAATTGAGTATATAAATTATATTAATGCCCAGGAATAAAATGTTGTGTCCATTAGTCTGGGTAAAATCTTGGAGTCTTTTATTATTATTATTATTATTATTATTATTAAAATTTGCTCATTTAAACTTAAAAGAATGAGCCCTGGCCAGGTGGGTCAGTTGGTTGTCAGCCCATATAATGAAAGGTTGTGTGTTTGATTCCCGGTTAGGGCACATGTTTGATCCCTGGTTGGGGCACATATGAAAGGCAGCCCATTGATGTTTCTCTCTAACATCCATGAGACTCATTCTCTCTCTCTCTCTCTCTCTCTCTCTCTCTCTCTCTCTCTCCCTCTCCTCTCTCTCTTCTCTCTCTCTCTCTCTCCCTCTCCCTCTCTCTTCTTCTCTTTCTTTCTCCCTCTCCCTCCCACTCCCTTTCTCTCTATCCCTTCCTCCCTTCCTCTCTCCCAAATCAATAAAAACATTTTAAAAAAACATTAAAAGAATTAAATTGAATTTGGTCAAATTATTATCATTATCTTAAGTTAAACAAGATAGTCATAGACCATTTAAAATTTCCAGAAAAGAATGATTTCCCTGAAATGATTATTTTCTGAAAGGTACATTCTAGTAGTTGTGTAAATTATTTCGAGAAAAAAGGTTGTCATCATTAAGTTAAGTTATAATCTGATTGTTAGAAATGATTTGTATTAATGCTCATGAGAATTGTACGGTATCTTTTTCAGCAAACATGAAAGTTTTCCCAGTATCGTTGCCAGGTAACATTATGCCTCCAGATTATGATAATGTTGGATAAGGGTTAGACTGTAAAATTGTGGAACCTAGAGCTGGAATGATGTTTACGGTTACCTAATCAGAATTCCATTAGTTTATAACTGAGGAAATTGAGACTCATAAATGAAGAATGGGTAAAACCAACAAAATGAATGTTTTTAATTAAATTGGTTGTATTTATAGTTTTAAGTAGGCAATGCTTTACATACTGAACTTGTCTTTTAGAACATTTTCTATAAAATGCTGGTCACTATTAGGTTCCTGTGTCCTCCTTCCTCCTCCATAACACACTTATTTCACTGGATTTTAACGGCTCTGCCTGTCTCTCCCAGCAGGATGGAAGTGTCTTTATAGCAGAGGCCTGTGTTACTCTGTCTGGTACTTTTGGACTCTCAACTTTAATCACAGTTGGCACAGGGCAGTCCTTGAAATATTTGGGGAACAGATTAATGTCTCATAGCAATAAGAGAAAAATTAATAATCATTCCAGTAAAAATCTTGCATCTATTAAAATGTGTGACCAACAAAGATAAATGTGTGTTCCCTTTTTCTCCCCACAGTCTCCAAACGTCCACAACTACCCCGATATGGAAGCTGTTCCTCTGTTGTTAAATAATGTGAAAGGGGAGCCCCCGGAGGACTCGTTATCTGTAGATCACTTCCAAACACAAACTGAGCCAGTGGACTTGTCCATCAACAAAGCCAGGACATCCCCCACAGCCGTTTCATCCTCCCCAGTTTCCATGACAGCGTCTGCCTCCTCACCTTCTTCAACTTCAACCTCTTCATCGTCTTCTAGTCGTCCAGCCTCCTCCCCAACTGTTATAACATCAGTATCTTCAGCATCATCTTCGTCAACAGTATTAACTCCAGGGCCCCTTGTTGCCTCGGCATCTGGTGTAGGAGGCCAGCAGTTTTTGCACATTATCCATCCTGTACCACCGTCAAGTCCCATGAATTTACAGTCTAACAAACTGAGTCATGTTCACCGCATCCCCGTGGTGGTACAGTCGGTGCCTGTTGTCTACACAGCCGTGCGATCACCTGGAAATGTGAACAACACTATTGTAGTGCCGCTTTTGGAGGATGGGAGAAGTCATGGCAAAGGTAAGGGACACAAGTGAAGCCTCGATTTATTTCAGCACTAGAGGTAACTCTTCTTTTATTCAGTGAGCGGACCCTAAATCACATCCAATACACTACACCCAAACGAGTTCTGTGTCTAGCACAGAGCCATTGAGAGCAAGAGCTAAACTCAGGTTTACATAGGTATACAATTCAATGTTACTTACTATATATTTTTTATGTATCAAGTCATTTAATGTCAGAATTCAAATCTTTAAATTTGCAAAATAACGTTTACCTGCAAATACCCAGATGGAAAGGACAATCTATAGAGTAACTGCTTATAAGTATAAATGCATAAATCTCTCATAGAAATTTTCCATTGAGAAATTTTTAAAGAGTGAATCAGGATGTTTCTTCTTGCAGTTTTTCAGATTGGAACTTACTTGGATGACAATGATTTAAAATGCCATGAAGTTGTAATGCTTGAAATCTGATCATTCACTTTTAAGTAACTTGTTAAGTGGCCATTAAAAGAATTTTAAAGTTAGGTGTTTGGCTACAAAATTATCATGTAGCTTGAGTTCTTATCTTTATATATATATCTTAAGTTATTATTTTAAATAGCAAGATGGCTCAGTATGATGGAAATATTTCAACATGCAATATTAATATTCCTTCTGGGGTTTAGAAGGCAGGAAGATACTTTGCTACATGACTTTAATAATGATAATAATAGAGTTAACTATATATGATAGTTTATAGCTGAGCATGAAGTTATTTATCTATTTCTAAGTTCTTTTTTTCCACAATTTATTAGAAGGAACTTGTAACAGCATCATGTTTGGGATTTTTCTTTTCCCCTTCCCTTTCATCTAAAGTAAGCCACCCTTCTATAGAAATGTAAAATGCCTATGATCATTGATTCATTCCCTTTTAAACTGAATACAAATGTATAAATTTTGTCTTCAGAACTTTGAAATGATGGATTAAGACTTTATGTTGTATTTTTACTTTGAATACCATATTACTATTGAGGCCTATAACAGTGATGGCGAACCTTTTGAGCTCGGCGTGTCAGCATTTTGAAAAACCCTAACTTAACTCTGGTGCCATGTCACATATAGAAATTTTTTGATATTTGCAACCATAGTTAAACAAAGATTTATATTTTTGGTATTTATTTTATATATTTAAATGCCATTTAACAAAGAAAAATCAACCAAAAAAATGAGTTCACGTGTCACCTCTGACACGCGGGTCATAGGTTCACCATCACTGGCCTATAATTAAAAGATGATTGATGAATACATAAAACATTGCCTTCTCATAAATGCTAGTAAACCTGGATATTTAGGCTGTTATGTAAGGCCAGCTTCAATGCGTAAGAATAACATTGGATTGTGTACTTAGAGAAATTTTTGCAAACATATACTACAGAGCTGTGCATTCACTTTTGGCAAGTTAGTGTTCGTGAGTAGTGCTATGACTTTTTTCATAGAACATGAAATACATTTTACTGTCCCAGTTTTACCAAGTGAAAAATCTCATGACTCATAGCAATCAGAGATTTTAGGCTGTGATCTTGAGAAGTATACTATACTTACTGACAATTTCCTTTTTGTGCTTTTATGGGCAAAGGCCAGGAACTAGTTCCACCATCCTCTTCATGAATAGCTAGAAGAAAAAGAGTGAGTAGGGAGCCTTTTTATGGATTTTAGTTAAGCTGAACCCTCTTTGATATTACTTATACTTTTGAACAGAATGAGCTAATAGATTTAAATAACATAACTGAAGACACATCAGGTATTTATTACCCTATATAAGAGAGGAATATGTTAATTAGCCATTACGCAAGGTGTAACAACCAAGCGTGTCACGACCAGATCACAGATCAACAGAGGGTGGGCCAGCCAGGTACAAGCGGGCTGCGGAGAGCTACAGAAGGGGGCAGGGCAGCAAGCTATGAGGGGGGTGGGGGGAGCTACAGGAGGGTGGCAGTGACCTACTGGCTATAAGTGGGCAGCGGAGAGCTACAGGAGTAGGCCGGGCAGCAAGCAAGTGGAAAGCAGAGAGCTACAGGAGAGGGCAGGGCAACAAGCTATGTGGGGGCGGGGGGAGCTACAGGAGGGCATCAGCGACCTACTGGCACACAGATTCGTGTGCAGGGCTACTGATCCATATAATAAAAGCCTAAGCGACTGTTATGGTGGAACGACCAGAATGACTGGTTGCTATGATGTGCACTAACCACCAGGGTGCAGACACTCAACTCAGGAGCTGCCCCCGGTGGTCAGTGCTCTCCCACGGGGGAGTGGTGCTCATCCAGAAGCCAGGCTCATGACTGGCGAGTGCAGCCTCTCTCGCCACTGCTAAGGAGCAGCGAGCGGGTGGGTGGTAAGGAGTGAGGGGGTCCTAGACATCCCCTAAGGGGTCCCAGACTGCAAGAGGGCAAAAATATAATCTTGCACGTTATATTATTTTATACTAGAGGCTGATGCATGAAATTCATGCTAGAGTAGGACTTCCTTCCCCTGGCTGCTGGCACCGGCTTCCCTCCGGTACCTGGGATTCAGGCCTCCCTCTGACCACCAGCAAGCACATGGGATCTGGGCTTCCCTCACAGCCCTGGCTTTGTCCGGAAAGACGTCCATTCTAATTAGCATATTACACTTTTATTATTATTATAGATCTGTGTGTATGTGTATACCATAGAACATAGAATCCACTCTACAGTGCACGGATTTTGTACACCAGTCCTCTGGTCTTTTATAATTATAGATTTTTCCACATTGTATTTTGGACTTTATTTTCTCCCAACTTATTCTATATCTATTAAAACTGTCCAATTCCTTCTGTTGTTTTTATTTTTGAAAATTAAAGTTACATTCAATATTATTTTGTATTAGTTTCAGGTGTACAGCACAGTAATTATAGATATTTATATATATAACTGTTTATTTAATAAATAGGTCAAGA